TGGCCATTAGTCCGAAAAAGCTGCCCATGGACTGAAAAGAGCTTCTTGTAGATTAAATGAGTCTTTTTCAGTTTCCCGTTGACTGAAATGAGCTCCCTGCAGGCAAAGAAGCAGGAGACAAACTTTGCCATCATGGATCTGGTTTTAAACAAATGCGATTCTCAGTTCATCATTGGCGGACACATATAGGAAACATATTTCTATTGTCTGGGTGGGTACCAGAAACAAATGCCCGTCTCCTCGCCCCCTCCCCCCCCAACACATGATTGTGACTCAAGAATGGGGGCAATGCCATGGAAGGGCTGGACGGTCCTGCCACACAGCTTGCCATGAGATTGGACTGTGCATGTGCGCTCTCATGAGAGCCTATTGAGCAGTTTAGCGAGAAAGCTATGAACTGAGCCGGGCGGCTAGATCCAAACAACTCTGGTCTCATGCCCAGCCACTCCCAACTCGCAGAGCACAACCTCGGCAAAACTTAAACAGCTCAGAGCCTTGAGGTGATGCCGGGCGACAAGGTCATGGTCATGAGGGGCAAGGACGCCGGCAAGGCGGAATCAACGACGCGCCACTGACTTCCCTGTTTCTTTCTGCGCAGGTCACACACAGATGGGTCGGGAAATCCGGGCAGTGCTTGAAGAACTCAGAATTGCTAAGGGCCAGGACAATATCTCCTTGGTGTGGCAAGCCTTTGGCAAGAACCCTTGCTTGATCGCCTGGTCTGGGGCAAGATCTTCGCCGCATTCGCCCCTTCGCTTTTCGTGTGTCACGTAGCGGTGCATATAGTTGTTGATTCTTGTCTCGATTATGGTTGTCCTGATTGGCGTTTTTTGGGCTTTGAATGCACGTTTGTTTGCATTCGTGGCAAAGAGGCAGCACTCGGGCAGACCACTTGTAATTCTTGCGTATTCAGGGCCCAGGTTTGCTTCTTCTTCTTTGTTTGTTGTATGTCTGAAGGGGTCACTTCGGGCATTTGGCTTTGTCAGAGACCATGCGGACTTTTGCGTGGAGCGCCTTTTCCAGAGACATGTGACCTCTCAGTTCCCAATGGCTTCTGGCAGGTGACCGAGGTCCTGCGGATCTACCCCAAGTGGAACAAGATTCTCTGTCTGGGGGTGAACTACTGCATCAAGCACGTAAGGCGGATCTGGCCGGGTTCGGGCCTTTGGACTTCGCAGGGAGTTTCATGCACAGGCTGGAGCAGGATATGTGTTTGCGCGGCGAGTGCCTCTGATGGACATGGGGGTAAAGCTTCTCCTCCCAGCCAGTCAGGAGGGGTGATCTTCTGAATGGAGACCGCCACTGCCCCAAGTCAGGCCATTTGGTTCAAACCAAGTGCTCCAGATGGCTAGCTGCACCCGGTCCCACCGCGCCCAAATGACGCATGGCTCCGGCCAGGCCGCAGCGTGAAGATGAGGTGGGCCAGCGTGTGCAGGCGCGGCATGCACAACCAAAGGCCCTCTGCTTGTGGAGTCATCGGGTGTGGAGCTGCAGCTGGGTTTGTGTTTTTTGAGGGTGCCTTTTCAGGCCGGGTAAATGGAAGACTCTACCATTTTGGTCCCACCCAGATGCCGAGTTGTGCATTTCTTGTGGGCAGAGAGGCTGAGCTCCCAAGCTTAGGTTTGTCACTCTGCCAGGTGGAGGCACCGATGCATGCCACTTGCGCCCAAGCCTTGGAAGTTTGCCTAGCTTGGGCATTTGGGCTGTTTGAACAATTCCGCTTGGCCGGCCGCCAAGCCAGAATCTTGAAATGGTGCGCCGACCAAAGCCACTGACTTTCAGATCCTCGTTGGCATCTAGTTGTGCCAAGAATAGGAAGGAGCTTCATCAGAGCTCCAACAGAGCAGCTTTACAGATGTAGAGACACTGCCAGGTATGCCTGGGCATTTTCGGCAACACGATTCTATTTATGATCTTTTGGCCCGCTGCGGCCAAGCTTCACAGTTGAGGTCATGCACTACGACGAGGAGGAAGGCGTGCCTGGCTTCCTGGGCATCCGCTTCAAGAAGATTTCGCTGCCGGAGCGAGCGTGTGCAGATCGCAGAGTTTCGGGCCGGCGACGTGCAAACACATGGAGGTTCCCTAGAACGGGGGAAGAGATGCGTCCCATCCCACAGGGCAAATCTGAGGGCCTGGTGGATCCTTTGGAAAAGAGGGGGCTTTCTTTTGAATCAATTTGCCGATGGCAGCCAGAAGAGGCACTATGGATTTAGGGCTCTGCACGAGGACCGCGTTCGTAGTCGGACTTGATCCAACAGCACTTTGGATTCCCTTTGCATTCCTGTAGGGTGACAATGTCTGCAAATTGAAGACTGACTGAATGTACGAACAGGGCCTCCAGAGACTACAGGGTAGCATCATGGTAGCATCGGGGATGGCATTTTGTGTAAGGAGACGATTTCGTCGAGTACTGGGCATCGTTGTGGGGTTTAAGCAGTTTGGAAGCGACATGTTGTAAAAAAACGCGCCACTTTGTAGGGACTGTCCGTGCCAATGTTCATAGCACAAATAAACCCTACAAGATGATCGATGTGTCCATCTCAAAAAGTGATAGGGCTCAAGCACCAACATTGCCCGCTAGCATTGCAACCAACATCTCCGATATACTTGCACCCATGAGATGGGACAGTTGGTTCTTGCAGTCTTCCAGTATCACGCTGTGGGGGGGGGGGGCGGTTATTGAGGTGTCACCATTGAGCATGCTGGAACCCTGCAGTGCCTTTGCCCCTTTTTTTTTGCAACAGCAAGTAGAGAGCTGCCCCAGTAACATCCCAGTGACCCACAAGCATTGTGTAGGACATGTTGCTAGTCCACCCATTAAGACGACGGAATGGGCAGTGTCACCGATGTCACCCTTGGAATTAAGCATGGGCCTGAACATGTTTGCAGGAGGAATCTTGTGGTAGGGGCTGTCATTCAGCTTGTTGACAAGTGTAGTCTTGTCACCAGAGCGCCTCCTGAAGGACGGAGTCGAAGTTGTGAAGAAGGTCCGCTACAATCGCGCCACGGGCAACGTGCCGCACCTCAGATGCGCCGTGGAACTGTCCTTTGCAGCTGTTGAGGGGCGGTCAGAAGGGCAATGCGCAATTGGTAGTTTGTGCTTTCCTAAGAGCGAGCAATGTTGCCTCGTGTTGGCACTGTGGGCTTCCTGCATGGAGAAACAGCCGAACAAATGAAGGCGCAAGCACGGCAAGGCACCTGCCAGATATGCTTGGGATGCAGGTACTTATTAATACAGCGCGAGCGCGCTCGAGGGCCTACTGGCTTCCTTCAAAACCATGCAGCGCCGTATGCCATCACATGCTTCCCTAGACAGTTTGGCCAGCGAGTGCTCACGCATGTTTGCATCGCTTAGCTCAAGTAGAGGAGGGCTCGCACGGGACCCTTGGAGCTGCTTTCTCTGCGTGGGAGCTGGCGGGAAGGTTTTGGAACACTGATGACTTTCCTTCTGGGGAAGCCGCCTATCCACTTTGATCAGTTGGAAAGAGGATGAAAGGGGGTAGATCCATTGGCCCGACCGCGCAAAGGACATCATTGTGCAGTCACCGTCGAAGTGGGTGCCGGTCCTGGAACGCCGGGCAGCCCAGGGCGTGAAAAGTGTTTGAGGCCCAGCCTCCACGTCAAGGGTAAACGGCTGCGGGCAATGGAGGGAGCATATGCTGCACGTTTACGGTGTGTTTGCCTTTGTAAGCATAAGGGTTCTGTTTGCATAAGCGGAGTGGCTGGGTGGGTGGCTGGCTGGCTTGTTTGCTTGCAACAGGCTCCTCCCCAAAGCTTGGCTCCGAGCCACTGAAGTTCAATCGCCTTGCAGGGTATCACATTACAAAGCGCTGAAGCGGATAACTCTGAAGCAAGTTCTTTGTCTATTTTTTGGCGAGGTCAAAAACTTCAGACTTCAGATCTGTTGAACAAGTGACAGTGGGTTGGAAGGTTCTGGCATCTCGCCACACCTAGCTGCAGGTATGCAGGATGAAGAGTGAACCAGCTGAACCTAGGGCTCAGCAGTCAGCCGCGGAGACATCTGGCGAAAGAGAGGAAAAATGCGTTGCCGCAATGGGGGGCTGCCATGTTTTTGCTTACTGGTACCGCGCCCGCTGAGTTGTTTCCTGGAATGTTGTTTTTTGGTTGCAAATGGTTAGAATTGTGCAACTCTGTGCTATTGGAGAATAGAGATTCTACCATCGCTCGACCCAGCTTTGATTGAACCTGCGAGAACATGCAGGAGAACATGCAAGCAGATCCTGCTAGGCGTTTTCCAGGTTGGTTGCGGCTGTTGCCTATTGCCTGTGCAAGCCACACATGTTCAATGCAGCCCTGGCTGAGCTCCATAACTGGGCCATTTGAAGCTACGGCTTGCACAGCCCATGTGGCACACCCCACGAACCGCCGATTTCTTGCTAGGAAGCAGCGGGCGTTGGCAGATGTTGAGCCGTGCCGACTTGAATTGCTCCATCAGTGATTTGATGCTGTGTCAGTCATGCTGGGGCCAAATCAGGGCGGTTCCATTTCAATCCCATGCCCCTGGCATTTGGTATTAATGACGATGCAGCTGGCTCAGGCTGACGTAGCCGTGGCAGATAGTTTGCGGCACACTGCCTACAGTTCCCAAGAAGCGCCAGAACAACTCAGTCAGCATATTCTGATCAAGAAGATGCTGAAGCAAGCTGATAGCCAGCACACGGGTTCGGAGAAGTTGTGTGCTCTTCGCATCTTGGGATGCCGAGATGCTTTGGCATCAACCTGACAAATATGTTGTTTTTTGAACGCAACACGTCAAGTCCTCTAGGTCTCACAGGAACACTGAGGGTGTGTCATGTTTTTGTTCTTCCCCTGCTTGGCCACTGCCGGAGGTAAGCAAAGTCAGAGAACCCTGAAGTGGGATCGCCAAAAGCATCACCCCATAGTATGCCAGAGACATTTGGAAGCCGGGCCCGGAAGTCATTGAATTACTACGGGTCATGAATCAGATTGAATCATGAAACATCACTACAGCTTGGCTCCTGTGAAGCTTCCAGCCTGCCTGCCGAGCGGCTTGCCTATGAGCCGCTGGGGCCGTCACAAGCGCCAGGAGGCAGAAGGGTGGTCATGGGGCTTGTTCTGAACGTGACATTCCTTGATCTACCTTTGTTCCCCTACTTCAGGGCAGTTCCTTCTGACAGCGAAGATACGCCCACAGCGACCGAGCATGCCTGCGAAACACTAAAGCAAAGGTTACGCTGTAACCGGGGCAAGTTTTTTGTCTCGTCAGGATTTGCTGCAGGTATACTTGTTGGATGATAGTAGCGAAATGCTCGGCCAGCCGGATGTATGGGTGACGTGTTTGAGACAAGGAACAGTGTGTCAACTCGAACGGGTCGTAAGTTCACCGGTCAGCCGGGCACTCTGTCATGGCGTTTATCGGGCCAACGAGACAGAATGCTTGTACCATGCGCTGGCACATGTTCGCAATATCGTACTCCATCGCCACTTGAGAATCCAAACGGTCCAGGCCTTGCTATTGAAGGAAAGCCTGTTTAAGCACGATGAATTTACCTTGGTTATGTTTGCTTCTGAGGAGTGGCTTCAAGAACACTTTTCCCGTCGAAACGCAACATGATGTGGACAAGTGGCTCCTTGCGTGCGTTACGCAGGAAGCCGATGCGGCCAATGCGCCAGCGCAGGCCTTGGGTTTGAAGGGTGTGGTGCTGTCGTCGTGGCCGGATGCCTGGTTGTGTCCGGTTGTGTCGGGCAGGAGTTTGATTCGTTTCGAGGTGGTTGACAGATTGCATTGCTATTTTCGGAGGGGCTCGTTCAAACTAGAAGCTTGTGTCGTGTGTTCAATATATTCTTGCTAGCTGAACTCCCGATGTGTGCTTGAAGTTGGGGTTGGACTTTTGCTTGCTTGATCAAAGGAAGGAAACACAAGCCTGTAGACTGCCACATCGTCATCGTTTCCCAGCTGTCTCATGCGCACCCTTATGCTTCTTGTCCTAAGACTTCCGCCACTCACCTCAAGAGAGACTACGAAGCATGCAACACGCACACACACACACACCCCTTGCCTCAGCAGTGACCTCAGTGGTTTAGCACTCGTGTTGTGGGTGATGGGGGGTGATGGGGATGATTGCAATCACAACTTGGACAGTAAGTCGCTCATGCGTAGTGGCGCAGTATTTCTTTGGCTGCTTACTCGCTTGTGCTGTGTGCTTCTGCTCCGCGTTACTTTCCTCCCTACTTCTCTGCCGGCTCTTGACAGCCTCTCGGAGTTGCGCAGCGATTTCCTGTGGCGGACCTCACCTGGACTCCACCTCAGAACCTTCGAGGTGGTTGCACTGAGTTTGGACCCTTGCCTCCGTGCATGGTGGAGCGCATAGCATATCTGACTGCGCACGAACCTGCGTGTTGTCCTGCATGTTTGGCGCATACGAAGGCTGGAGTGTTGCAGCGTCGCATAGACGGTGCATTGTCCGGTGACGAATGACTCCAATGGAAAGTCCTTTCGCCACATTGAAGCGTTGGCCTTGGCCGAGCCATTTCAATTGAACCCGGCTTTGAGGCAGGTAACGCAGAAGTATGAAGCGCTCCAGCAGGTAACCAGCAAGCGACCTTATGCAAGATAGACTGAGATCCATAGGTGAGTTGTTTAGGTCAATTTGGTTGAATTGAACTAATTTTAGGTCAATTTGGTTGTTGAGGTCAATTTAGGTCAATTTTTGGATCCATTTAGATTCATTTGGTGAATAGTTGAACATGGACCAGATTGGTTCTCCAGCCGAGGCTGAGGCTGAGGATGCGCAGGTGTCCGCCTGGCGCTCGGGGCGGCCGAAGGAGAAGGAGCTGACCATCGACTCGAGGACAGAGCCGCGTTTTGGGACCTGGGAGTTTTAATACCCAAGGATGTGGCTGTGTGGCTTGTGCTTGGTGGAAGCTCTCAAAGTTTCAGGTTCAGGGCTTCCGGACTTCGAACGTAAGTTCAGTCAAACATGCTTAATATTTCATATGCTGCTTGCTGTTCTTGTTGAACTTCTGACCTCTACCCGCGTGAGCCTGTGCACCGGGCCTCAAGTGATGCGCTTGCCCCGGAGGCTAACGCTGCGCTCGGGCCTCCGGATGCCCCGCTTCGGCCTGGGCACCTGGCAAGCGCAGGGCGGGGATTGCTACCAGGCGGTCCTCGAGGCGCTGAAGGCGAGCGCCGGGCGAGGCCGAACCGACTGGGACCTCGCTGCGCGTGGAAACGCGTGGAACCTTGCTGGCGCGATGGGCAGCGAATGAGAAGTGGAATGACCCCTATGAACCATGCCTTGTGGCTTGTGTTTGTTGAGGTTGCCCCCAATAGTGGTTTGGGTTGGCGGCTTGGGGATTTGGACCCCTGGTTCTAGGGGGTAGATGGGAAGCGCCTCCTTAACCACCAAGCCACCAATCCAAACCACAAAATTAGATGGAAGCTGAGTTTGTGTGTCTTTCTTCGTGTGTTAGTTTGCTTGGTTCGTTGGTTGGTTGCTCGCTTATGTGTTTGTTGGTTGGTTGGTTTATTTGTTTGTGTTTGAGTTCCATGGTCTCACTGACCTTTGGCAAGGGAATTCACAACATGCAAGGGCTTGGCCCTGGGCTAGGTTGGCTACCGGCTGATCGACACCGCGCAGATGTATGGCAACGAGGCCGAGGTAGGCCGCGCATTGCAGGAGCTGCAGATCCCAAGGGAGGAGGCCGGGTTCCTACGGCGCTTTGACACTGAGCCATTGGTCGAGGGATTTTTAATTCAGACCCATGGACTCGTTGCACGGTTTCGGTTCAGACGAGGTGTTTATCGTTACCAAGCTCACCGGCCGAGAGCACGGGCGGGTGGCAGCAGGCCACGCCTTGAGGGAGTCACTGGAAGCTGGGCTCAGCATGGGGTGTTGGGCCTGGCTGCTGTGACGAGATTTGTTGTGCAAGTGTCACCCCCTCATCGGATCATAGCTGTAAGATGGGAAAAGGGAGTTGACCAGTCCCTTGCGCCCAGGAAAAGCTCAAGCTGCCCTATGTGGACCTGTTTTTGATCCACAGCCCCCGAGGCATTGGAAGACGGCTCAAACTTTGCGAGATGAGGTCAAAGTCGCTGCATGGTTTGCCTGCATTTGTTTTGTTGCTGCGTGCCTCTACTACGTGTTTGATGCTGTATGCCTCCATGACGGAACCTCCAGAGCTTATGCCTGAACGTTTGTGTATGCACCTGAAAGCGCGTTTCCCGATCTCGCAACTTGTGATGTATAAAGTGGGTTTGTCAGCATTACCGAGACATGCTTGTTTCGACTGACTTGGACCCCCTCTCGCATTTGCTCGCTTGCCCTCTTTTCTGAATGCAGTAGGCCATTTCCGGCTTGCGCCAGGAGGTCTCCTCATCGAGACGTGGGAGGCCATGCTTCACCTGCGGGACGCAGGTCTCACCAAGGCCGTGGGCGTGTCCAACTTCGGGCCCCAGCATTTGCGAGCGCTGCAGGCGCCTCGCATATTGGTTTTTAGCCGAACCGGCGACACTTGGCGACGGTGTTGTGGTGGTGTGTGGGTGGGTCTAATGGGATCATTTCAGAAAGGTCCTCATCCACTGTGCTGGAAGTTAATGGTCCTGGCTCAGTCAGGTGTATGAACATTGGAAGAGCATCAAAGTTGGCTGCTTTCAAAGGTGTTGAGTCAATGCTTATGTAGCTTGCTTCTTCAGAAGAAAGAGCAAGCCAACAGTACAAACCAGCAAAATATCAGTACAAATCAGGTGCTGTGACACCTTCCATTCCAGCACGCGACATCTACAACAGTACCAGGCTTTGCAACTATCCCAACATTTGCCGACCCTCAGTGAACAACACCGGGAAAGCTTTCAGAACCCCAAACTCGTGATAGGCCGCAGTCAGTGAAATGCAGGATGGAGCTCCCCTCTTAAGGCGCTGGGGAAGGAGCTGCCGGAGGTGAACCAGATTGAGCTGCACTGCGGCTGGCACCAGCGGTCCCGGCATGCTTTGGGGGGGGTTGAGAGGGGCTGGTTTCAAATGCTGGCTGGTTTGGGGTCAATTGAGCTTGGGCAGTGTGACGTAGGGTTCGGTAGGGCGCGACAGAAATAGTTTTGTTCTTGGCGGCTGGTTTGCTGTTTTTGGGCGGAGTGAGCGGGCCAAAGTGGCTTCAACAGTGGCTTCCAGGAAGGAGACAGTTGCCTGCTGCCAAGAGCTGGGCATCGCCGTGATGGCCTACTCTCCGCTGGCCCGGGGCAAGCTTTTCGGCGGCCCCCTGCGACAGGCAGCTGGTCCACCTTGGTTGCGGGGCCGTTTTTCGAGCGTTTGGGCGCTCGAAATCGCGATGCGAATCGCTCGTCCCTGGCCGGCCCAGGTGGCGTGGAGCGGCACAGAAGCGGGGCTTTGTATCCGCTGGGCCCTGCAGAAGGGCTACGTGGTGATCCCCAAGTCCGTGACGCCGGACGCTGTGCCGGATGTTTGCGGTCACCGCATAGATTGAGAACTCCACAGGTGTCACATAAGTTGCCATTTTGAGGTGGCGGCATGCTTCCATGCCATGGCGGGGGCCCCGCTGATAGACACTGGCATTTTGCACCTGACAGTGTGGAAGAGAGTCAGTATGGAAAACCTTTGGACGGGGGCCTTGAATCGTGTCACACATTCAGTAGACTTGTGCCTGTGTAGATTTGTCCCAAAAGATTCGCTCGAAATGTACATGGTAGCCTTGACTTGAGGCAAACCCTGGTTGGCATCCTTGTAGTCCCCCCTTTGCGTTTTCACGCGCTTGCTGTTTTGCGGGGGGAGCTGATTAGAGCTGCCAAGGAGCGGATCCGCAGCAACGCCACAGTCTTCCAAACCTCCCTAGATGCGGTGCCTGGGCTAAAGCAGGCATGGCACAACCACAAGGACTTGAAGTGAATCTGAGCTTGACCGGTGTACCAGGTACAAAACGATGAGTCGATCCCCCTAACCCGAAATGCCGAAAGACCCTTGGCCCTTGAACCGCGAATATTTTTGGGAGGTACAAAACCCTATGAGTCCGAAAGGCGAAGGTCGCGGCGTCGGAACTTCGAGAGGTTCAGATGGAGCAGCTGGAGTCGCTGGACCGGGGCCTGTGCACCTGCCCGGCGGCCCGTGCCATGGATCTGCCCTGGGCGGAGGTGGCGGACCGGAAGCCCAAGGGCAAAGGCATCGAGGGACGGAGCATGGCATACCCTCAACTCGACTCAAACCATAGGAAGGAATAGCAACTTCCTTTGAACAGTGGTGGCGGTTTTGTGCTCCCTGGCTCAAAACGAGACACAAACCCTCCACACACTTCAAAGCCAACCATCCAATCCCGGCGAGCCTTTTCTTGTTGATGAAATTTATGGGGGTGGAGGGCGGCACCTCCGATCCTTGTCAGGCAAAGGCAACTCGCAGCCACAAGCTCGTTTGCCCACCCGGGGCGAGACCTGGGTGGATGCGCTCAGATGAAATGCGCGGAAGCCATTGGGAGGCATTTGGCTTGCTGATCTCAACGGATGGGCGCTAACTAGCTGAGAACAGATATATAGCATGAATTTGGATTTCCCTGGTTCGCCATTACAGCAGTTTTATAGCTTCATTTACACAACACGATCCTATTCAACAGGTATCCGGTGGTCCAGTGGTCTTTGACTCTTGACCTTGGCGCGAGCCTTGACAGCCGACCAGCGCATGCTCCGATGTGAATTGAGCAAGGGCCTGAGATGGTCATTTGTTCCGATCAGCCTACCCTTTTTGGTTCTGTTTTGGAGAGGCTTGTTTAGCAGCCACGGTATTGTTCCAAGCATGTCTTACGTAGGCTGCAGTCGCGGCAGTCAAAGCTTGAGCCACAAACTGGCTCGAAAGTTCCAGCAGAACGCATCATGAAGCCCAGCCGGGCATTAGCGGCATGGGGCCAATGCAGGCATCCAGCCACCCAGCTCATGTTTGCTCGTTCTCGCAGGTTTCAGTGCAATCACTTTTACGCGCAGAAAGATGCCATGTTGGTGGCTGGTGTGTCCCAGCCCAGTAGTGCACAAGTGCCAGAACTGATTCGGAGAGCTGTTGAGCTCCAGGGCCGTGTGATCCACCTCGTGGTTCTGAGAGTGGCTACATGGGGCGTGTTTTCCATGATTCGTTTTCGCGTTGTTGTTACCAAGTTGTCCAAATTGAAGAGTCAATGTCCTCATATTTAATCCCAGCCCATGCCAGTTTTCCTCCAGGCCAGCACCCTGTGTTTTGATTCGGGGGCCTTGAGCTGCCCCGATGGCGTCATGGAGCGGTTGCCATGCGTGGCTGCTCCGGGCCTGCGGCCGGGCCACTTGGTCCGTTTGGATCATCGATCCGGCCGCTTTTTTGGCTTGTGTTGGTACGCTTGGTGCGTTCGTCGGTTGTCAACCCTTTGCCCTTAGATGACGCAACATGGTTAGTCGAAGTGGAGGCCGATAGTCAAGAATTCATGACGGCTTTAGGTCACCTGTGTGATATGGGCATGCAGCCTGGGAACACAAGCGTTGATTGGATTTTGCTTGGGTAGATGTTGCATCTCGGGCTGCACCTTCCAGGCTATGAACAGATGTAACATCAGAGATGTTTGTGAGAGACAAAGCCAGGACCACTGCCCCTGAGCCGCGGCCTTTCGCGGCCACTGCAGCCGCGTCCACTGCTGCGACCATCCCGCAGCTTGCGACCGTACGCCCCGCGCGGGGCGGCGGCGCGCGCGGGGCAGCATGAGCAGCTGGGGCCACTGTGGCTGCAAAGAAGGCTGTTCCCCACCACTCAGCAAGGCATCCGGTGGTGGCATGTAGAGTGATGGAAGATATGGAAGCATGTTTGGAACCGGTTGGGGTTGGAATGATATTGCTGGCAGGTTCTGTGCGATGGTATGGCTGCCATTGAAATATTGCCCAGGGTGGACATCGAAATCATATTTGCTGACCAGGACCCGAGGCTATCCACTGTTGGCTATCAGTGTATGTTATTTGGCCTTTACCTCCGAAAGTGTGCCTTCTTTTACTGTCTCAACACTCGGTTGACCCTTTTAGTTTTAGGTCCTTCAACAAAGCAAAATAGACTAAATGTGAGTTTGAAGCTGGGGATTCAAGCTTGCGTTTCGTCCATTCAATCACGTTCAATGAAATTCAACATGTACCCAAACTCATTTGCTGCAGATGGCATGGGGGCGTTCCTCAGCATTAGCCACCGATACGTGCATTAGTTCATGTGCCAAGCCAAGCCGCTGTTGAGAACCCGCCGCAAGTCGCAGATGAAGATTTGGCACAACCCCATCGACAGGCGGGCCACTAAAGCTACTCTCTCCACGAAGGACTTTCTCTTTAAGGGCATTGAATTCGCATGTGCGAGACCCTGCAAAGGCAGCCTTTTCATATCACTGGGGAATATCAAAGAGTCCCTGATGTATGGGCATTTGTCCTGTCGAACTTGTGAAGCTCTTGACAAGGGGCGAAGGCTGCCGGAAACAGCGAGGTGCAATCTCAAAATTTTGGTAATGAGACACGAAAGCGGGGCACGCACCTACGAGTAAACTGCACTTAATTGAACATCCCCTCTAGTTGCAGGCCTTTCCCTCATGTTGAAGTGGAGCTGGTGCTTCAGGCATAGCTGTCACCGGGTTCCTTGAAGACTAAATTGGATGCACAAGCAGGCCGATTGCCTCATAGGGGGTCCATGCCTGTGACCAAGGCCGCTGATATTTATTGACCCTTGTCTGCAGCGAGGGGTTGGCTGCAGCGGGGGTTTGGCTCTACCCTTTGATTTGATGCTTTGCTCGGCACTCAAAGTTACCAGAGTGGGCTGGAGCGCCCTGGCGCCTGAAGATGCTCCATCCGGGAAATCGGCTCAACAATTTCGTTCTGGGGTGCATGCGCCTGGGGGTGGTTCTCAAAGGATATGGTTCAGCGAGGGACTCCCAGCTGCTTCAGGAAGCTTCCGCTCATATTATATCATATTATATGCATGCTGGCAAAGTACAAACATGTTCCTAGAGCACTGACATACTTTAACCAGGTGATTTTAGAAGGAAGGCTCCGCAGTCCGAGCTGCAAGCCGCTAGGTGCTCCAGATTTGCAGCGGACATCAACACCTAGATGGTTTGTGCTTGTCCTCATGATGCGACGTTGGATTCTCGAGCCTTCTTCACTGGGGAAGTCATGCTACTCCACGCTTGAACGGGATCACACAGGACTACTTCTCGGAGAGTGACATTTTAGGATGCATTCATTGAGTTGCGCTGGCCTAGAAGCAACGAACCTGGTGTGAAGTTGCAGTAGTTTTACCAATGATCTCTTGTGTCAAGATCAAGGGACGCCCATTTCAAGTGTTTGGACAACACCGGTGTTGTCCCATGTATTTAGAACCACTGCTGAGAAAAAGAGGCTATGATTGAGGACTGCTTCAAATGTAAACTGGTTCTTGCCAGTGGAAGCATGAAAATGAAAGCTAAGAAAGGGCAAATTGCAACTCGCTCTAGCATTCCACAGGTACACCCATGTCAGTCTGAGGTCTATTTTTTGCACCTCCTTGGCTTCACCATGGGAGGACTGCGCATCTGAATGGCGCTTGTTGCGCAAAACGCGTTGCGAGGCCGTGCAGGTGGACAAGTATTGGAGCGTATTCTCATATTCTTCTTAGCGCAATACGGGACTGAACCAGTGATTTGGATCTTGTGCTGCCACAGCGTTGGCAGCTGCTGCACCGTGCAAGGGGGGGGGGGCAGGCGGAAGTCTATTGGCTCAACCAAATGCCGGGGGTTGGCAGTTGACTCAATTTGTTGGACCCCTCTGTCTGAGGCCCTCCACAAATGACCGCATAGCGTTTGCAAGGAAGCCCCATTTGCACTTGAATTTGCTGGAGACCACAGCCGGCCAGTTGTTGAATCCATGTACAGGAAGTTGGAGCAGTGCGCATCTTACCGAATCCCTAGCCGTAACTGCGACTGCCAGGGCCTTTGCTCCCGGCATTGCGAAACTTCTTTCACCTGGCGGCCTCCAAGCGGCTTGGCCCGAATTCCGAACACCTTCCACGAAGTTAGGTTTGGATGGCCTTGGTTTAGCCATAAGGTCGCCCTTCACAAATCAGTGCTTGCACTGCTTGCACCCTGCACTTGGAACGACAACCATTTGCCGGACTTTGCCTCTCATCCCGACATGGCCATCGGCTCTGGGCCCCTCACCGCCATTTGCGTTTGCGGGCAGGGAGGGTCAACATGTTCGTTTGTTACAGCGTGACATGCATGAGTTGAAGGATCGCACAGCAGCATGCGTCAGACTATAGATGGTTATTGTTTTTGATGGCTCAAACTAATGCTGGTGACAAAAATAATAACATTTATCCCCAGAATGGGTTGGAGCCGTTCAGGCAATCAATTGGCATGCAACCTATTAGCCCGCGCAGAGCTTAGGACTGGTATGATCACCTCGGCCTTTCCCTTGGGCATGCTGCTGGCCTGCTCCTCAAGCACATTGCTGGGCAGGAAAGCGGAGCAAACACCAGAATTAAGCTATAATCTCAGTGGTTGTTCACTCTTGCTTTGCTCTGATTTACATCAGAGGGCCCTGCACCAGCAAGCTAAGCGCATCTTAGCTAGAACAATCCTGACCATTAAACCTGCAGCAGTCACAACGTGTTTACATATTGGAATTTGCCTTTTTGCCTATCCAAGAAGCCCCGCGTGTTGCTTGGGGAAGGGTCATGGCTTGGTGACTTTTTGCGCGTAGGGATCGCCTGGCGGAAGCCGGAAGCAAGCCACCAAGGCGCTGCCCATTTTCCCTGCCCTCAGTGACAGGTACGGCCGCCACTCGGAACGGGTAGAGAGATGGACTTTTCGGCGTCGTATTCGGAGCGCGGCCAACACATACCTTGCAAAAAGGGGATTTCAGACAGCAGGCCAGCTTCAACACCGTTACCGGCCGTTGCTTTTTCAAGCGTTGCCTGGCCTTGATCTTGCACACCAAGCGTGCCCGCGATGGTGCCTGGTAGAGTCTGATGCATCATTTGCCTAGGAAAGCCCATCCTCATAGTTTGCTTCGCTGGCGTCGGCGGCGGCTTTTTGTACCCTGACATGGGAAAGGGATGGGCGGGATGAGCTGGTTTTGGCTTGGTTTGAGTGTGCCAGGGTATTATGCGAACTGTGCATTCAATGTTCAACTAAAAATGCCATTGTGGGTTAGTCCTCAAATAATATCGGCTAGAACGAGTTTCATCCCCACCGATCCTCCTGCCTCCCCGGCTCAACATTGACTCACAGCGATGGTTGTAGGGATCCACGCTCTCCACACCAGAGACCTCTCCGTCCCAACACGCAGCATTCCCCTCACCACCCGTATTCTAAGGGACTACGTTATTCCCCATAAGCATGGGTTTTGAGGTACCTCGCAACCCCAATCAAGTTATCGCGACCCGACTCTCTTCCACGTTGTGAAGGGAAACCAATAGGAAACCTAGAAGAAACCGGGCTACTATTGTTTTGGCAGCAATGAGGAGCACCAATGAAAAAGGGCGTGTTTCTCATTGCTGCCAATTTAGTAGTACACG